ACACACACACACACACACACACACACACACACGTGTTATTTTATATAATTTTTTTTTTAAATGATCAAACCAACGGATAAAATCAATGGATAAAAATCTCCTCGTTTCGATGTGTCGTAAAACTTGCATAATTCAACTTTTAAAAAGATGCGTCGACTAGTATCTTTCCAAATTTTACATCGTTCAGAAATTTCGAAGATTTATCGATCGATTGAAAAAGAAGCAGATATCGATCAACCCGACTCTTCGTTTCGATTTTATCCAATTTAACCGAGATAAATCCGTTGGTCGATTAGAGAAACTCACCGCGAAATGGAAAAAAAATTGGGAAGTTTGGCCGCGCGGGTGTATCGATTCTAATCTCCTTACGAATATGTTGCGCAGTGACACGAGCGGATGATTTACGAGGCCGTTGTGGCGCCCGAGCCGGAGATTCTATTGTACGGGAACAAACGCTTCCCAACCCAGCCTCTTGGTATTCAGATAGTCCGTTGTTCAACACATTGACGCCTGATCGCACGGTGTTGCGATTACGTTCACGGATGTTCTTGCTTCATCGTGTAATGGAGACACAAAAAAAAAAAAAGGAGAGAAAAGGAGAGAAAAAAGAAGAGGACGTTCATCGTGGGAATTGAATTCTGTCGCCATGGGAAATCCTTTATCGATACCCGTGCTCGGGACATCTCTCGACAAATCCCCCACTTCCTGACAAATACGATCTGTGACTCGACTTATCATCCGAAGATATTTCTGTATCCGGATGAAACGTGTGTGCTTATTTTTTTTTTTTTTTTATGTATATACACGTTTGGCTAATGGATCAAACGGAACGAAACGTGCGCGATGCGCTTTTTATCGACTTTTTATCGGTCGTCAGATGACGTAATCGCCACCATCGAACGATCACGAACGTGTGTTTCGAAGCGGTGTTTTAAGCGGCGAGCCATCCAAATTGAATGGAAATTAGAGAGCGGTGGCCTCGTTTTCGTTACGTAAGGGGATGGAAAAAGTGCCGACTTTATCAAATCGGGGACTGTCTTCCGCAAGTTTGACAGAAGTAGAAGAAGTTTTATTTAGAGACACGCTCGGTAAGCGCCACTCAGCGCTCTTCGAGGACTCGAAAAATGGGACAACGCTTTAAATCAATCGCAAGTGTACCTCTTGCTTCATCCCTGTTTCTCTCTCTCTCTCTCTCGTGATTCAAAATTTGCACGCGAACAAGTTTGAATTAGAAGTCGTCCAAACTTTGCCCGTATCAACTTTTCGTTGCTTTCCGTTACAAATCGTCATTTTTATTAATTATTTTTCACGCGTTATTATCGACGTTAATAAAATACCTTCCACCTTCTGGTTTTTGCTCCCCACATTTTTGCGCGATGCGAAACTTTTTAACGGACGAATTTATGTCTGGTCGACGACAGGATGAATTACGTCGAAAAGTGTAGGCACAGTTCGGCATTTTTAATTAACTATATCCAGTATACTTTTAATGAACCAGTTTCGATAGTATCATCGGTATCAAAAAAAAAGGGAAAGAAAAGAAAAAAGACAATAAAACTCCATCGATGAAAAATTATAGGATTTGAAGTTTGAGGTTTGGTTTGGTCAGTCTCTTTTCTGAATTAAATTTTCACACACGCTTGAGAGAATTATAAAAATTGTCCCTGCGATGAATACACCCATCGAGAAATAATCTTCTTTCTTCTCTCTACGCAAGTAGCGTATGAATTAAGATAAATTCTATGGTATTTTTTACGTACGAGTTAACGCGCAGAGTTTCATCAACGTTTAATCAACTACGCGACCCATTTAACGTGGAAAATTTCACGAAGGGTGGAAATAAAGAAACGAGGAGACGACAAATTTTTGTTCGCCCGCGAACCATTATACACGATACAACGGAAGAGAGATAGAAAATTGGCTCCCCTTTTCTTTCTGGCGTAAAAGGTTCCTTCATAAAGTTAGCTGCTTTTCTTTCTATTAACCATTTCTCATTTTTCGTTCTTCTTCCCTTCTCAATACTCGGCGTAGCTTCGAGCTTCTGCACCTCGCCATATGTGTCTTCTTCCCAACGTGCGCGCGAGAAATTCCAGGCACACGTTGCGATCGAACTTTCATGAAACGTCAAAGAAATGAACGATCGAGTAGGCTCGTCGAGATGCTGAAATTTTATGTTGCCTTAAAGCCAAGTAGCAAAACTGTATATCCGGTTCCTTTTTTTTTTACGTCTCGTAATTTAGAATCAGTAGGAAGCTGACAGGTACAAACAATCGGAACTTAAATAAAATTGCTTGCAAATTAATTAAGATAAATAATCCCGGAGATAAGATCGATTAAATAAAGTTACTTCGAAACTCAAGAAACTCGAAGATAAGTTTTAAATCAACTTAGAATCAGCTTAATACGTTGTTGAGTGAGATCATTATAAGTAATATTTTTCGAAAGATAAACGTATCTATCAAGGTTTATCTAATTTAACGCAACTTGGAACTTTTAAGTTTAAAATCCTTAATTGAAACTAGGAAAATTTTGAATCGCTATAGCTTCGAAAATAACCACTTCCGGCGAACGAATTCAACGATCGTTGAAAGCGTGGAACTTCAATTTTTGAAACGCTTTCCGATTTATCTCGACTATTGGGATTCCCGGGATATCGTCGTGCAAGGAGGAAAGGAGTAATTTTTAATCGTTAAATCTCGTCGCTTATTCGAATCTCTCGCTCGCGTCTCGTCTCACTGACCTATCTCAAACTCCAGACGAAACAGACGCGATTCCTGGAAGAACGCAATGCGCCATTCCTGGGAAAAAAGTGTAAACTCTCTCGTATCGTATTTGTACACAAATCTCTGCGTTTCGACGCTTCGAATCCGTATATCTCGGCGATACGAGATATCGAAGTAAAACGAAAAAGCGACTTCAATGGGATAATCTTCTCTAATTTCTGAGTTGGATGACAAAATTTTTAGTCACTTTTCACGATTTTTTTTATAAGGAAAATTTAATTACACGCAGACGATATTAAATTCATCTTACATTTTTGCATTGTACCGACAAATGTAATAATAAATGTGCAAGCGATTAAAAATCTACTTGCTCGACATCATCGTCTCTGTAACAACGAATTGCATTCAAGTATTTAAGGTAAACGTACTAATATCGCGCGTTCGAATGTTAGGGGGAATTTTTTCAATTAAGAGTTATACGACAATCGAGCGTACGTAAGCGCTTTTTCCTATCTTTTTTTACACGGAAGCAGGAGGCAGCGCGGCGAACAAATTTACGCATTTATACGCGTGCTTCGTAGTTTTACCGGAGCGAAAAGATACGGCACAGAATGGAATTTAGAAAAGTTAGAATGTTTGTAACGAGACGCGTGCGTTATTTACATTGACAGTTTCACTGTGCGCACGTGTGGCAAATTGGAAATGAGTATGCTGTGTAGTTTGCGCTTGTCACAGAGAGGAGCATCACGAGAATTTCCACGTCGACAGGATCCCAGGTTCAAGGCACGATACCGGCCGTTGCTTCGAGTTTCGCGATAGTTAGCGGGAATTTCTAGCGTCGAGAGTCCACCACTACGGCAATTTTCATTATGTCGTCTGTTATTACTATAGTTTCCGTCGTAGAAGCTGATATTACAATTTCAGGCCGTGGGATCGTTCTTCGTTTCTCTGTTTTCATTGCCATATTTTCTCCTATAGGGAACGTTGTAATTACACTTTCCCATCAAATACAGCGGAATGATGCTCGGCGAAAACTGGAAACTGACGTCTCGTTAACGACTTTATTTTCGAATGATATTCGAGAGATTGTAAGATGAAAAAATTTCTCCGTCGCTTTGATAAGGGAAACGATCGATTCCTACGTATATATACGTATTCGCGGAATAAATTTTTACGGTCGTGGAAAATCGAGGTATCGACAATCGCGTCGATCGAAAAACTCGAAAAATTTGACGTCCATCGTAAATCTGTCTCCGGTATCGTGTTCCTTCCTCCGCGCCACGTGTTAAAAATTTACCATAAAAGATTTTACGATGACGTGCCTCGCTCCAACCCGTCCGAATGAAAGTTGGCAAAGCGTTCGAAGACACCGTGAAAGTTTTAGGATCCGCCGAATTGGAAGATGACACGAGCGATGCACACATCTCTAACAGATAATTCTGTTATTATTACAGATAAACTCGGAATGGTCGCTGGGGCCCGAGCTTTGCGACATGTGGACCAGCAGCGACGTTCTCTGCTGCACTGCCTCGATATTGCATCTGGTGGCTATCGCGGTCGACAGATATTGGGCAGTCACCGATCTCAATTATATACAGGTTAATTAACAGTGTCGCGGTAGATAGTCGGTAGATAGACGCAACGAATGACAAACTTACGGTCGATCTACGATCCCTCGAAGGGATGACAGGAGAGGTGGGATTAGGACGGTCGTATATCGATCCCAGAAATGCGGCAATCTTTGTACGAGGGGAGAGCTCGTTAAAGTTAAAACGGACGATGCAATTAATAATAGCTTTATGAAACGTGTTCACAACGTGTTGGTATCGTTTATCCCTTTTACCTCGAAGAAGAATTCTACGGAGAATTGGTGCGCGAGAATACGTCCGTGCAAGAATGCGCAAGAAATTCGATCAAGATTTCTTTGCCAAATTTTTGCCGAGTGGATAAAGTCGAGAAATTTAACTCGAGATTCACGAATATACCGGTAATTAATCTAGTCTTATCGGCGATGGCCAATAACTAATCGAACCTAAATCCTATGACACCTGCTACAGATACCCGCATGTTCGGTGTAGCGTTACCGAAATCCCGGGCTTAGAATCACGATAATAATGTGGCAACACGGTCGGTTGATTATCCGTGATGCGATCGAGTTATTTCAATCTTGAAACGTAGCCGTTCGACATGCCGGCTTCCTGACCCCGATCCCGGATATTATCTCGAGCAAGATGTTATAAAAATATTCCGGTGTGGGAGGAAGAATCCGGACGGTATGAGGGCCCTCTCCAATTCTCGATATGTGATAACCGGTGAAAGAATTTCTTTACTTCCAGGCGAGGAATCCACGACGGATTGGTATGTTGATCGTCGCCGTCTGGGTGGTGTCCTTAGGAATCTCGTTGGCGCCTCAACTTGGATGGAAGGATCCTGATTATTTGGATCGTATAGCGGACGGGACTTGTCTGGTGTCCCAGGATCCTGCATACCAGGTAACCTGCTTTTTCATATTCAATCATAAAAATCTTCCTCTCGAGTTATTTCGAGAAGTTATTACGTTGCCGTCTCCTCTCGATCGAATCACAATCGCGACAATTTCGATTTTTTCCCCACGTAACTTCATAAATATTGGTAAATATTAACGAATCGATGGAATACAAATGGCGATAATTTTTCTTTCAAAAAAAAGCATTCGAGAGATCGAAGGATAAGGAATTTCTTAAAATTTCTTTCCAGATCTTCGCCACTTGCGCGACATTCTATCTACCCCTGTTGGTTATTCTATTCCTGTACTGGAGGATATTTCAAGCGGCACGGAAGCGGATCAGAAGGAGGCCGGGCACTATTGTGCAGCCAGCTCGTGAAAGAAGAGGCATCCTTAGATACGTCACGAAAAGGTTCCGCTTCCCTTCCACGTGACTCTGAAATAGATACACGGTTGCGAGGCTCGTTAAGTTCCTTAACTTATCCATCTCGCCATCTCCCTCTATTCATAATTTCCACGGATCAATTACTCTCCCGAATATACGCGAATCCTTAAAATCGTCATCGCGGATTTGAATCTCAAGATCCACGCTCAAGAAAACGCTTCTTTATTATCCGTTTTCGAAAGAAAAAAAAAAAAAAAGAAAGAGGAGTTTTTTCGAAATTAACACGTATTCGATTTTTTTTGCAGACCGAGGGAGGAGTCGACAGCGTTCACAATAACGAGATCCACGCCCGATCATTCCTCGATCTCGCCGGAGAAATCGTCGTCTTACAACGGGGCGAACGCGACCCAATCGACCACGGTCACCCCGTCGACCGTTTCGACGACCACCACGACCACCACCACCACCACGGTGACGAATCCTTCGAGCAGCCACTCGACCCACTCGTCGAGCAAGAGGACGCGCGACACGATCGAGTCGAAGCGGGAGAAGAAAGCCGCGAAAACTCTGGCGATAATCACAGGGGCGTTCGTCGCGTGTTGGTTGCCTTTCTTCGTTGTAGCGTTGCTCCGCGCCACGTGCCAGGTCTGCGAGCCACCCGAGCTCATAGCAAGCGTCTTCCTGTGGCTGGGCTATTTCAACAGCACCCTGAACCCTGTGATATACACTGTATTCTCACCAGAGTTCAGGCAAGCCTTCAAGAGGATGCTTTGCGGTGGTTCCAGGATAATTCGCTGACAGTGGATTTAAATCTCGCGCCATTCTTAAGCGTACGAACACTTCCGACGAATGATTGAGAGAGAGAGAGAGAGAGAGAGAGATGCGTGTGGACGGATGCTTCGCGTGTACATAAGACAGTTCAATATTCTAACTCCTTCCTTCTCTCCTTTTTTAGATAGCGTTCGGATATCGCGTAATTAGGCGAAACTTTAGAGAGCCCGTAGATAGAGTCCTCTCCCCTTCCCCTCCCCCCCCCCCCTCCTCACCCTCCTTCGGAAAGTTTCCGCGGGAAATGACAAGTTTAACGAGCGGATCCGGATTTCGCCATTCGATTGGAAAGTTTTTTTTTTTTTTTTTTTCTTGAAAAAGATAGACGACGAACGGACGAACGGATGATGAACGGATGCGATTGTTTCCATCGAAGCGACGGGAATCCGGGACAACGCTGCATCTTATAATAACGCGAGAGAAATTCTCTGTTCGAAATAGCTCCGCATTTTTCCGATACGTCTATAAGGAAAAAAAAAAAAAAAAAAAGGAAAAAAAAAAGAAAACGCTCTTTTATCCA